AAACCATCCCAATGTCAAGTCTCAAACCATCCCAACTCAAGAAAAAAATGCCATCAACACTTATTAAAAACAGCTCTCCAGACCTTCTTGCTTTAACAGCAACTTCTATTGGTGGAATGTATTCAACTGGACCAAATATCATCCAGCGGTCCCCTGGAGAACGATGATACTTCTCTGAAAGGATAAATATCACAAATCAACACAGTACAGTCATTATATGGGGAATTTTAGAAAACATACGATGAACAACTTCCAGATGGTTTGAAAGGGGTTATCATCATCATGATTTGAAAAGGGTTATCATCATCATCATCGTCATCATCGTCATCATTGTCATCAGTCCTCTCCCCATCAAGTGGTGCACAGGACATTGACTAGCTTCTTTCCTTTAAATCTTCTTAAAGCCACAATGCCTGCTTCCAGCTGGGTCTAGAGTCCTGAGTTGTTCTCTCTATAGTCCTTTCCCAGGGTGATTTTGGACTGCCTTTTTTCTTGAACTCTCCAGAGTTTCCTTGAGAGTTAAGGGATGCTTCAAAGAATAGTTATTATCCATGCATAAATCTTTAACTATATGTCATTTGTAGCAATCACTCACTCTTTGCATATTTTTCATCAAAATGATCCACTGCTGACAATACCAAGGCTTCATCTGCCTCCAGGATATAAGAATTCAATATTCCACCATCCAAGTCTTCTCCTGGCAATCACAAAATTTATACAAGAATGTGTTATTTAAACAATCCTCCAATGAATTGTCACTTAATATATGACATTCCTTTTAGTGTTTGTTGCCCCTGTAAAATGATCACAGCATGCATTGCCCTTCTTAACTCAATCAGAGCTCCTTTCCTTCTTCACCAATCAACAGTCATTGATAGAATGGTGATAGATAATACCATCAAATGGTTGCTTCACCAATTTTGAATGTTTGCTTTTTAATCTTAAGAATTACCTGGATGTAAGAAAAAAGAGGCCACTCCTTTGCGAAGTTCTTTCTTGCCCAGCTGGTTACGGCCTTTGCTATCAACAGGGTCCATAACAATACAGTATTCTTTACGAGACAAAACTGTCTGAGTCACTTCAGCAACAACTTCCTGTTAATTTCAAACAACACATTAAAGGAGTTTCCTTGAATGTGCTGTTGTACTTAATTGGTCTTCAGTTTTGATAAAGAAGAATTAACAATTATAACATAGCTCTCATACTACTCAGTTGTCTACTTTACCTCAAACACTTCAGGTATATACATCTCTGTATCCTCAGAGGTAACAAGCCACTCCTCTCCTGCATTTCTAACAAACATATTTCTCACATTTGGTTTTTAGACAGTCTGATTAATAATCTAAAGATCAATGCAAACTTGCACTTTTGCAAAAAGCAACTAAATGATTATTACAGAATGACTACAGTTATTAAAATGAGCCATAATTCATAGAGTGAAACCAAGTCTGATATCTTTACAGCTACTCAACACATCAACTTAATTTTACACTTGTCTGATAAAATATAATTCCCAACCTCTTTTTCCCAAGTGCATCAATGCACGTCTGTTTTGCTCTCATGTGCAAGGCTATTGTCTCTGTCAGAGTGTGAGCTTTCTCTACACCCACCACCTGAAGAAGAATGGAATAAGTCATCACTGACAGAAACTTAAATGATGGCAGCAGGGCAGGAGAGGAAAGGAGGGCTACATCAGCCCATTTAATGAAGTTTTGGGGGCAAAGAGCCCCCAATATCCCTACCCTCCATGTTTTAGTGTGCTCACTATTGCTTGCATAGGAGAAAAAAATTTGTTTACTGCAAAATATTAAGTCTTACTTGTTTCATATGGATTACCCTTAGCAACACAATATAGTGATGGACTTTTTTCAGAAAAAACTGCCTTCAATTTGGTTGTGGAAATAGAGTAAAGACACACTTAACACCCACCTGTTAAGATTGCAAAAAGGTTTACAAAAAGGTTTGGAAAACTTGTGGGAGGTTATGTGTCTCACTTTGTGTTTACTGACTTTCTACACAGTTTAAACATTGGTCACTAAATGACAAAGGAAATATTTTTCTGGTGTGCAGGCTAACAGGGGCAGTAATATAAATATTATTTTTTTTAGATTATACCTAAGCCAATTAGTTAGAGTATCCATCAAAAATGATGATGATGCACAAATTGCATCATAGTTATGGTCCTAATCTAGTGTCCAGTTACTCTTACTAGACAAAGGTTTGTTGGCTACTTACCTCCTCATAGGCCCCAGGCAAATAAGCTCCAAGATCTCTTATTAACCATTGCTCAGATGTAACACGATTCCTACAAAGGAAATGAAGTTAAATGAAGTTAAAATTCATATCCAAGAATGATCAAATTATTACATCATAGAAGGAATTGCTATTATCATATAACACTTGACTAATATACAGCAAATAAAATTACTTTTGGTAAGTAAATGGATAATATATGTGATTTTGGTATACATGCAGTAAAACAATGGATAGCATTGAAGGCATGCTCTGATTGGGGACTCAAACTGCAAATATCCTTTGTCATCCACCTCAAAGCAACTTGCACAAGATTTGCATCTGAAAATTTTGTAACCATTGCAGGAATAAATCAGGTAAAATCATCTAGTTGTGCTTTATTATCTCAATGTTTCAGTATACACCAAAACAACAATTAACATTAGTGGCTAACAGTGGATATTTATCTTGATGCTTAGCAGCCTGGTAAATATACACCTCCACTTAAGTGAATAGTTTTTAATACTAAGGTAAATTTTTTTCCCTCCATCAAACTAAAAACCAATGAACAATTTGATTAAATTCTCACAGGTCAATTCTATACTGACAATCATAATGCATTTAAGTACAAGCAAGCAAATCTCAAAACCACAACTTACTACCATAGCTATTCCAGTTCAGTTTCTTGATACCAAATTGGTTTTTCCTTGAGAAAATTTCTCTTGTTTATGTTTACCTGAGTTCTACAGTTACTAACTATATAAAAATAGTAACCAAGGTTTGCTTTGTTTACTCTGAATTAATTCATTTAACTCACTTTCCTGTCTTATCCACTAATCCCTGACTGGCCTTCAGCCGCAAGGCTTCTCCATGTTTGATGATACAAGGTCTTACTCTTTTTTCAATTTTCTGCAGGAAATTACAGCCGTTTCTGACGTTAAATAGACTGAAGGAAAGTCACCCATAACAAAGCTGTTTTCATAGATAAAGGTTAAAATAAATTTCTTAGAAATAAGTTGTTTCATTTAATATTAACATACTGCATATGGTGTTGGTCTGTAAGTCAGAGGTCCCTCCAGCTGCCACATATCTCCTGCCTTTCGCTCCTCTTCACCATCTATATGATCTACAATGGCTTTTAACTGAAGACCTTCATCGGGTCCAATAACTGGGAGAGCCTTGATTCCAGACTTACCACCTGTGCAATCAAATTAGAAAAGGTAACTAATTTTTAATCAAGGATTGTTTGCCTCAGAGGAATCACCTGTCCTAGCACTTCTGTACAATTGTACTCCAAAGATATCACAAAGTACTGTCCATAATGTAATTTAACATACACATTAATATGAATCTAAATCAACAAACTGGACACCTACCAGACATTTTTCTTGCTCCTTCAATGGCTTCACCAGGATAAAGAGGGAATGGTTCCTAAACGATAAAAACCACAAAGTAAAATTACAGGCTTCTTCGATACCCAAATGCATTAAATCATTAAGAAAAATATGAAGAGTCATCATTTGTAACAGAAACTATTTAAACCTTGAAAAATCTCATTTCTCTGTGCCCATGGTTCAAGTCACACTGTTTTCCTGGTTCACAAGGCTGTCTAAAATGTGCAAGAGAAAATGCAGTTATGGTTTGAGATCACAAATATTCAGGGAGATAACTGTAGAAATAACACAAAAATAGTTTTTTTAGGACTCACTTGACTGGGTTTTGTATGACACAGTAATGACCTGGTGGAATGACAACAAATGGCAAAGGACCAGCCACTAATTGGTGATTATCCTGTAGAATCAAACTCTTTGGACCCACTTCCAGTACAGTCACATTAGTGTTCTAAAAATAGCAAAAGGACTCATAGGATGAAGAAAGCCAACTGACTATGTAACTAGTTACTTTCATATCTGTCTTAGTTTGATTTCATTCTCGGTTTACTTGTTGTTATCAACTTCAGCAGGGTTACACCCCCAGGTGTGACGTCCAACACTATTGACGTCACGAAAACTGTTTCACTTTCCCAGGTGAGAAGAAAGAACAAGAAGAACATTTTAAACACAATACGAAGAAAAATATACTTAGTTCAGAAGATATTTGGTAGAGCTAATGCATTCAATATCTAGGAGCATTTAACGTTCAAATCCCCATGGAAAAGTGGAATTAGTAACTTTAACTGATAAGCTACGTAAAATTAAGCGAAATTGAAACTTTTCAAAATTTCAGAACATACATTTCGATTTTTGTCGAAATATTGTGCTCTTTTGCCCTTAATAGCTGCATCAACTGGCAAAACGGAGAGATTGACAGAATTAAAATGTCACTACTTAGATAAAAACCATTTGGAATCATCGACGATTAGCAGCTGAACATTTTAGAACTTACAAACTCCCTGAAGAATTCCTCCCCATAGAAGAACAGTTAGGAGCGAGTCAGTGAGCAAATAATCCAAATGCATAACTACGATGTACCTACCAGATCTAGAAGATGAATATATTGCATAGGCTGAATCCGGACAATATTACTCATTATTCTCCTCTTGAATCGATGTAATTAAGAGAGGTCACCACAACCCGTCCGACTTGTGCAGAGAAAACGAATGTTATGCAAATCTTACAGAAAGTTGTTATTTCCAGTCTCTCATCGTCTTCTCTGGGGTCCGCCACGGTTACTCCATATTTGGAGTGTTTGTTCCAAATATGGCATTGTATAGAACTCCCGCTAAAGTCCAAAATTGATACTTCGCGTTGCATTACCCTAGAGGTATATTGCTGGAACTCGAGTTCCGTTTTGGAATTTAGTTTACATTGAAATGCTAAGCACTGGAGAACTACTTAGATAAAATACAGCGATCAGGATCTTCTTTGCTGCCTCTTAAAAGCATATTCCAAGACGATGATGGTGGAAAACGAATGGTGGAAATCGCAGCTCGCTCTGGAAATACACGACGTTCTCCGTGAGAAAGAAACCAGATTGCCACCTTTTACTTCATCTTCACCTCAGTTAAAACTCAGGCGTTTTCTTGTAGATTGGCTTGCTGTATTCTCCGAGAGGATTAAAAGTTCTCATGGTGTGCTTCATTTAGCTGTGTATTATATGGACCTCTTTATGGATAAATTTGACATAGATGAACGCAAACTTTATCTTGTTGCGTTATCATGTTTGCTGCTGGCAGGTAAGTGTTATGCTCCAGGTGCCTGCTTAAGGTAAGACTCCAGCACTCCTTTCTAGCATTTAGAAGAAACGGTTATCGGAAGTAAATTGTTATATTTCGTTTTGTGATGCTATAATAAGTAGATATATCCAAGTTTGTTAAAAAAAATAAAGTTGATCGTTATTTCCAAAAAAAATTGAGCTTACGTACCTTACTGAGAGAAATTGTTTTGTTGCTTCATAGATCACAATAAGAAAAGAAAAACTTTGAGTCATATAGTCATAGATTTAATTAATCATTTTGATGCCCTGTAAACCAACTTTTGTGAAGATCTTAAGAACGGAACCCTCTGAACCTTCGAACAAAGCGCGCCTTTCGACCTAATTAACATTGTTCAATAAGGTATTCGTTTTTCCCCTTGGGGGAATTTTTCTCCGAATTACAAAATGTTTTTAGGCATCTATTCTTTTTCTCGTTGGCAGAGATTTTATAGGCAAACTGATAATCGCTTTTTTATAAAATGACATTAAGTTGCTGTAAGAAGTAGATAAGATTTAACACTTCGACCATTTTAGCCAAACGAATTTAGAAAATTCCAACAAAACTCTTAATTTAACTTTGGTGGAGGTGTTTTCTAGTGCTTTCTACCCGGAAAATGATGTATTTTAAAGTGTTGACCATGCGTTCTTTTTTATTTTTTAACAGCAAAGTTTGAAGAAAATGAGGACAAGATACCAACCATATCAACACTGAATGCCTACGTTCATAACCTGTTCAGTGCACCAGAATTTCATCAGATGGAACTCCTGCTGCTGAATTTTTTCTCATGGAACTTAGATTTACCTACACCTGTACACTTCATGGAATACTACTTGATTCATGCAATTTCAGCAACAGACTGTCAGTCTGGTGGAAGAAGTCTTGAGGATAACACCAAGCCAATGGCTTATACCAGGAAATATGTGCATTATTTCCTGGAAATTGCTTTGCAGGGTAAGATATAATTTAAAAAAAAATTTGGACTAACCCTCAACCCTTTAAACCTTTTGAGTGACCAGCATAAAGTTTCTCCCTACAGCAATACTGCTGAATCATTGATTACAATCATGATAACAGAGGAAATGGTCACCAACCTAAGAAGCTTGGATTAATAAACAAATTTTCCTTGTTAGATCCAGATGAAATTTAAAGAGAAGAGTAAGGAGAATGTGGGTACTGATGTTAGGATGCAAGGAGTTAAAGGTTGTCTTCACACTTAATGCATCTCACATCCCTTGGTCCCACAAGTTCAAAATTTGGCATATTTAGAACTTCCTGGTTGACAAAATGTGAGCTTATCATAACACTTCACCCAAACATTAAACCATTTCAAAATGGAACAAAAACAAACAAGCAAATAAAGTGTCCTTCCATGGGTTTAGGTCCCTCTCATATGGCTACATTTGTATATCATGACAGTGGAGGGGATTTTCCAGTGAGGTACAGTAAGGAAGTATTACTAATATATAGATTTAGCCAAGCCTAAAAGCGGAGCTCACAATTTTTTTTCCCCACACAACTTGTCCTGTCCAGGACTAGAACCCAGGTTGCTCGGAGCCCAGTGCACTGACCACTGGACTACTGAACAAAGCCGTGGCATTGGCGTGCCCATGGTACAGTCATACAACCAAATTTTTTCAGCTTGATGGGTTACTACTATTTTGTATAATTATGGGGCTATGCTTTGTGAGCTCTGCTATTATTTGCCTAACTATTTATCTGTTCTCCATTTTAGATCATTCATTCCTGGCATTTCCTCCCTCGGTGATAACATCAGCAGCGGTAGCTGCATCACGACTGAGGCTTCACCTCTGCCCATCCTGGACACCCCTACTGATCAAGGTTACATCCTACACATGGGAGCAGATCGCACCCTGTGTGCATATTATGTTAAGGTACTGGAAGACATAGACTTCAGATTAACAAAGAATGGCAATATCTATTACAATTTAAAGGTGGTACTTCAATCCTTTAGCTTGGTGAAAGGAAAGAGCAATCTGATTTTGTATCTTAGTAAAAGAAAAAAAAGAATTTAATTCATCTTGAATTAACAAGGTAGCTAAGTAGCTAATGTCTTCATGAAATAATTAATTCAAACAAATTGTAAATAAACATTGTAAACAAACATAAACAAAATGTTCAAGATTCCCAATTGGTAGGAGGCAGTCCAGTTGGCTATATACAAAGTGCAGCAAAGGAGTTGAACTTGAGGCAACCAAGAACAAATCCAGTGAAAGACAGGATAGAGGGCTTGAACCAAGGACCACTTGATTACAAGAATAGTGCCCCAACCACTTAGCCACCCTGCCTCCCCAAACGTATTGACACATTGTATTGTTTCTGACTTTAGAGCACATGATGCAGATGAGAAAGCAATGTCACAACAGAAAGCAGTTAATGCCAAAGGATGAAAAATCTTCATTTCCTGGAATGAATAACAAGCTGGACACACATAAATGTATCTCAGGATTCATATAAAAAACAAGCCACTGGTCTGAAATATAAATTGCTAAAAATATCAGCTGCAATAAAAACCCCTTTCAGTCCACTTGGTAAATGAAAACTGGCCAGCAAGAATGAAACAAAATTGCTTCAAGTGACAGTCAGTAATTAATGATTTTGATAAGAATTTGACAAGGCAATAAACTTTTCTATGCCCAAAGCTTCTCGAAGTTCATAGGTGTTCATAGGAGAGCTTGCCTCTGCCTTGTTTAAAACCTTTGTATCAGACTTACTGGCTCATTTAAAAGTTCAATACTTTTCAATGCCAAGTTCAAAGTGCATTGTTTCCAACATGTATGAAAGTACTTGAACTTCTAATAATATCAATTCTATAAAAATATTGCTGGCTTCCACAGGGTGTGAATAAACTATTTCCATACTATCATTCAATCTGTACTTTTTATATTCTAGTCTAAGACCATTTTTTCTCTATTAAATAATTAGAAGTAAGCTGAAATTCCAAAAACAGAGTACAATGGTAATATTTAATGAAATATGTAAGGTAAAAAACTGACTCAGAATTCAATTTACACTTTGATTGTCACTTAATTTTTTTAATTTTAATTTGAAGACTACATGGTCTTGCAGATGAAAAGTAATTTTTAGTAGAGATGTTTGTGAACCATATAGAAAATGAAGAACCAGTAACTTTGCAAGAAACAAATATGATTTTACAATACAGTCCTTACTTTTGGTCCTAGGTTGTACATGCTCTAAGGGTCTGAGAAACTCACACAACCTTTATAATTTTGCTTTTACCAACAAAATTGTTTATTTTCCACACAGCTGAACACAAAATCAACTTCCAAATGCTAAATCACTCCACAAGCAAAGTTTGCATGTTCCTGCAGATCAGCAGGTTATTGGCTAATCTCTTAAAAAGTTCAGATACTCTAGTCTAGTATGAAATTAGTTGTGATCTGAGGATAAGCCAACTAGAATCATTACTGACACTGTCCTTCTAGTCTAAATTGTGAGAAAATCAGAGTGATTTACAGTCAAGTATGATTTTATGTCAGTGATGTATAAATAAGTACATGTAAGTATAAGTACAATAAGAATATATATATATTTCACTTCTGTGGATAAATAAGAGTTCCTCCATTCATCAGTTCAAATAAGGCTATCTGAGTGTATTTAAAATAATGAAGCATCAGAAAATCAACTGAGAGCTTAAACTTATTAACATAAAAGCAGCTACATGTAGCTTTAAATACAGAAAAATGATGCTTATCCATATGTGCTGTACCTATATTTGAATTACATCTTGAGTACTTACTGTAAACAATTCTCAAGATTGATGCAACAAAATACCCATAAATAATGGTTATAGAAAAATACTACTGTACAATTTTTCATTTCATGGGAATTACAAAATACTTAACATTTTGTAGGCTTCATAGACGATCATCAAATATTATTTGTCTCTTTTGGCATGTTCTTTGACAACCTGCCATTAAATTAAGACTTAACATTGCTCAAAACTTTAAGGAATCCTTCAATAACCAGCTGTTGAAGATGGCCTGCATCTGAGCCCTTTTTTCTGCGGAATGGACATTAACAGTAGGAATGATCTTCTTTGGCTGAAGAAACTTAACAAATCTCTCCAGTTCCCTGAAGCTGCTATGCTCACTATAAGGAACACCTAAGCATAAAGACGAAGAAAACAACAATATAACAAACCCTAGGAACTACATCATTGTCAGTAATGAAAAAAACTGACTTTAGGAGAGGAGTGAAGTTGGGTGGAAAAAAAAAAGATGGGCTGAGTAAGTTAAATCCAGCATATCACTGTACTTACCATATATTGTCACATTTCCTCTCTTGGAAGGTTTAATCATCAACAAGTCCTCTCGCTTTTCACTGTATTCCCACCCAGTGGGTTTAAATGCCAGGAGTTCAGCATACTGTGACTTATGAGCCCCCAAATATGTTGTTAGATTCTATCAATAAATAAAATTGATGATGAAAATATGCTTTTAAATTATATTCCATCTTAAACATCTTTCTATATGTATCTTATTTTAATTTGAATACTTTGCAACTGATAAAACCACAGCAGAGACATCTAAAAAAATATCTGGAGTTCAGAATTTGTTTCACTCATAACATCAAATTCTCCTTACTGTCTGTGACACAATTCTTATAATATCAGCTCTGAAAATTGGGTATTGGATCAACTAATAATCCCCTGATTAATACTTTTCTTTACCCTCATAACTAGTGTACTTGATATTTTATTGATATTGTAAGGAGAAATTCAGTCTTCATCAGTCATGGGAGTTAAAGGGTTAACTGAATACATGTTCTGTTTTCCACCATAATAATAAATTTCAAGTTGCTTTATCTTAGCCATGAAAGTGAAAAATACAATTTCAGCACTAAAAATTCATCTTTTACCTGCAGCGTTAGCTTTGCCATTGGCAACACATGAATTCTTCCCACCTTCCAGTCAGTAGTGATCAGAGAATTTATTTGATTGGATTCAAGACAGTCCAGAACCTTTTTCTTTTGTTTTTCTACACAAACTTTACATCCAAGTGCTTCTGCAATGGCTTAACATAAACACAAAACAATATCAACAAACAGTTCCCATTTAATTATTGGTGCCTATGATAGTTAAGCAACAAAATTGAATTCGATCTTATTAAAAAGTGACTATCACACAAAGCCTTCATATCTGCTGAAATTGTAGAATCGCAGTCTCCTGTGTCTGAATTAAGAATTCTCTCCTCTATACCATCTCACAAAAATATATTAAACTGAGATTTTAAAAGTCCTCACCAAGAAAGACACGTTCTTTCCCAATTGTATATGAGCCACAAACTATCAGTGTCTTTGGGTTTTGTTTGCATGCTTGCACAGCTTTTGAAACAGCAAAGTTGATGGTTTCCTCTTGAGGAGGAAAGGAGTAATTTGGATCACAGTACCTGAAATGTTTTTAAAAAAACAAGTTGTAAATACTGAAGATTATTCAGTAATTACATAACAGATTGAAAAAACATGTCAGTGTAGATGTACTTACGTGGTGTCAAGGTACAGGACATCAATCTTACAATGTAACTCTGGATACCTTTCCATTTCAGGAGAAGCTCGAAAGTCACCTTAAAAATAAATTAAGTAATACTTTAAAATGTACTTGAGGAAACTTCCGCAGGTAATGTTGTCACAAGGGATGTAGAAAGTGATACTTTGATTGTAAACTGACATTCTTTAGCTGGGATGTCATGGACTGTTCAGGGTCACATTCAAGACATGACATTGTTCATCAATTGGTTGGTTATGTCATGAGAGCAATTGCATTTTTGAATACTTACATATCACATGTGGCAAAAGTATCTTAATTAAATATCAACCAAAATGAAGCTAAACCTGTGTGTAAGTAAGTCTGGCCAGAAGAGAACTGGAACACAAACAATACAGCTCCAGGGCAACTGAAAAAAAAAAAGTTCAATGAAAAATATAGGCCATGTTTTGCTGAGAATGCCACTCAAAACAGATTTTATCCTTCTATCTAAGTCATTATGAGTCATTATTTTAATTACTAAACATATTTCACTTAAAGTAATCTTATTAATTTTAAAGTGATAAGTAACAAACTTAGTAGTCCCTACTGGTTTGCCTCCAGAAGTGTAACTTGAACATTTTCCACAATGGTTGGTGCATTCATGGGAAGTGGATGGACAAACTCTTTTTTAACACACAGCTTGGATATCACCAGATTTGCAGTGATCTTAACAAAAAAATTATAAGTGAGCACTAATTCTTCAATCAATTACTGACTGTTTTTATCAAATAATATACCATAGTGGAGTTATATTACCCAATTATGCTTGTCTTCTCTAATTGTCTGAGTGAGACCAATTCTGAGAGAAATTTTTTATTGACAGTTCAAAAATATGAGCATATGTCTTTTCTAGAATCAAGTGAAGAGTTGTTTGTCAGTTAAGGCTTTGGAGGTTTGGTATGTGAAAACCGATTGGTCAGTTCTGCCGTTGTTCATCTGGTTGTCAGAGCCAAACAGTGTCAGTCAGTTTCAAACTATCAGCAAAGTTGTGTTGATGTTCTAAATAAGAGGTTTATAAGGTGCAGGTAATTGTTTACATCTGTCAAAAAGGAGTCTGTTCTAAGTTAATAAACCAGCTTTCCAAATTCTTTCACAAATCTGATCACCATGCATGAGATACATAAAAACAGAACCCAACTATAATATTATCCTTACTATTATTAAGGATATACTCTCCCACCGATGCAGCACCACAGTTTCTTTAGAAACTTAACCCCTTTATATTTCTTTTGAACATCAAGAAGTTATCATTTCTGATCGAGTAACCTCAGGATTAGGGTGCCCTCCCACATCAAATATTAATAAACCCTACAGTCTATTACCTTGCTACAATAGATTGGATTTTTGAATTTCCCATTCAGTCCCATATAGTGATCATAATGAAAATGGCTCAAAAAATAAGCATGACAGCCAGGAATGTTGCCATAGCGAAAAGCATCAACAGTAAAGGCACTGTTAGGGATCTTCTTGTAGAATGGACAACTGCGTTGAGTCTGGGTTCTATTACTACCAGCTAGACCTTCACTTTGACTTGAACTTTGACCTTCAGTTGTAAATTCTGTGTTTTTACGATCATTGTTGAATGTTTTTCTTGTTGCCCAGTGACCCTGTCTTTGGGATGCAGACTGTGATTGTGAAGAGTTTGTTATTCTGGCACCATTCTGAGAAGTTGTTATATTTTTTGCTGGCTTCTTCAGTGGTTTCAAACCAAAGAACACTCCTATATCAGTTTGTTTCAGAGATGTCTTTGATTTAGAGGCTTCCTTCCCTTTTCTGACAAATGCCAAAATTGACTGTTGTTTCTGGCCTATACTTGAGTGCTCACCCAGATTATCTTCTTCGACATTAATTTTCTTTACATCCAAAGGATGTGGACTTGGTGTAAAATTTACCTCAGCCTCATTTGTATGTTCACTTGTTTTACTCTTTTTCTCCACAACTGAAGCAACAGGTTGGATAAAACACTGCTTGGGCTTATCATACACATCAAAACATTCAAGACTGTGATTACTCTGTTGGTCTTTTGTTAACTGATCTGCTGCATAAGAACTTTCACACAAATTTTCCAAGACTTCAAGATCTCCAAACAGATCATCATCAGAGGACATTTGAAAATCTCCTGTCTCGACTTTGGTCATTGAAGCCTCACTTTGTAGAGGCAAAGAATGAGATTTGCTAGATTCTCCAAGGTTTGAATGTTGTGGTGAACTATGAATATTGCATGGTAATTCCTTTGATGTTTTATTTTCATCTAATTGTACTGCTTCTATTGCTCCATTTGCTCTACCATAAGGCAAACCTACTGTAGCACCAGGGCTCCCAGAAGATTCACACTCATCTTCATCTTTATGGAGTGATTCAGACAAAAATGGTTTTTCTGAAAAGTTCAATTGTCTTGAAGACTTGATTGCTCTTTCATGCTTTTGTTAAGGAAAGAATAAAAGTTAGTTCCAATTAGTGTCCACACCAATTCATGAGAAAGTCTGATAGTAAGAGTTTTCATGCCTTAGATATGGTTTTAAACTTACCAAAATTATTTCAGATTCCTTACTAAGTTTATGCCACAGGAAAAGAAATGATTTAGAGTTAAAAGGTCTTTACAGTATGTCAAACTCTTACTTGTTTGTGCATCAGATTATCTATGTTTCCATTACTTTCTCCTTCATCTCCTCTGTATATGTGACCATAACTCCTGACAGAAGCCAAAAGCTTGTGAGAGTATCTTTCATAATGAGGAGAAAATGTTGATCTGCAGTGGACACCTTCAGGACAATCACCTAACAAAAAAGAAAGGCTCTGTTTTGTATTGATTCAGTTGTTTACGAATCGGATTTGTTTATCTGAATCAGTGAATAAGTTTTCCTATCCTTGCAGTCAAATGGTCCCACAAGGAAATTTTACCTGATGCAAATCCACGTATGTCCTGAGGTTCTGCATAGAGCAAAGTTAACAAGTAAATTTACACATACTTCTGGCTGGGCTGACTTACAGAAAATGAAATATTAATGACATTGTTCTAACTAAATCTACTAAGCTAAGTACGCTTTAATTACCTATGAAAGAATATTTCCTTCCCAAACAATCACTGACGTGCCACCCAGGAGATTCTCCAACCAATGCAACGAAAGGCATCTGGCATCTAGGGCAGTACCCATCTACGATGCTCTTTTGAGGTGTGATCTTGTTGTCAACCACAGCTGAGTCAACTTGGCTTCCAGATAATTGATGACTGAAGGTTGAGTCCTCATCATTCAATTCCTTGCAACTACTGGAGGAATCTTCTCTCTTGCGTTTTAGTTTCCCCACACTGTTCTTTATGATTGTCTGAGAATTAT